TAAGGATTTTTGGCGAAAATTCCTTATCCCGTTCATTCACACATTCATGCAAGTTGCTTTAATTCAAAATGCTACTTAAACTTATTTTAAATATTAAAGTTAATTTGCTGTAAGTGAATTAATGGAATTAGCAATAATCTTTTTTTAAGTAAAACTTCTTTAGGCGCGACTAGGGTATTAATCCGTACAAATACAACGGAAATGCGATACGGCCGAGTCGAGTGCCAATGATTCGTCATTTGCTCTCGATGATATCATTTCTATACGGATCGTTTGTGATTAGGCGTCGTGTATGTGAACAGAGATCTGTCGTTGTAAGCCGGCATCAACGCTGTATGCGTACCGATATTAACAAGGAAATCGGCATAGACATAAACATTTTAAAGTTACATCGTAGTACAAATCTTGAATTAATGAAAAATGCCAGAATCAGAAGAATATTTTACCCTGTTCTTTGAAAATAATAAACAAATTAAAAATTCGTGCCGTGTACTAAACGTAAGTTTATTGCTATATTATTCGTAGTTTCTATAAATCTTTGAAGTTATTAAAATGAAAAATATTTTTAGGCAAGACAGATATTACAGCTGTTCTAAGAATGAGATTATAGCGCCAGCAAAATAGTAAACAAAATACAAGCAGTCAATGAATGTATGTTAATTTTAATTACATGAAGTTCTTCAAACACAATTACATGATGAGTGAAGTTGCGAAAACAATATTTGTTTAAGCGTTGTTTAACATAATCCACTGTGTGAACGAATATTATAGAGTTTATTAATCAGCAATTACTTCATTTCTCTAATGAAGGTTCATTTCTAAATGCTAATTACAATGACAAACCGATCATGTCATATTTGAAGTATGACTTTAATTACATTATTGTTTTTAAATATTATACATATTTTTAATGATATTATAAATATATAATTTATAATTTATCATTATATAAATGTGTATAATGGTTGATACTAATAAATGTATGCATCAAGAGTGTTACCATATTACTAATAATAAACATTATTCGAAGTTGTCATATGTGGTATTTATTTTAACTTAAATGCCATCTTGTACAGTAGCAAATGAACTTCAACCGCGTGTGAACCTTACGCGCACTCTTTTTTTTAATTGATATATCAAACAACTAAATGACTTAGAGACTACACACCTACTAAACACAATAATCATGAAAATAATATCATTTGTAAAGAAGTGTTATAAAATCAATAATACTAACCATGTAATATGCGATAAATATAAAAATTACAGAATAAATTTACTAATATTATTACGCAAAGTGTTTTTCTATCAAAGTTTGTATATATAAAGTGCTTTGATACTTTATTTGAACATTTTCCATAAATTTGAATTGATCTAAAAAATTAAATAATTTCATTGTCGATTATTTGTAGCAAAATTCAGTATATATCTGTTTCAAAATGTTAACTATGATTATTTTTCTAAACTAAATTGCCGATATTCAAAATATGAAATCAAAAATCCCCAAGTCTGATCTATGAAGAAATGAAAAATGAGAAATAGATGCTTTGTTAAATTTTTTCTACTAAGATACTAATAAATAAACAAAACAAAAATTATTCGGTTAATTTTCATATGTTTTGAAATATTTTTTTGTACAAAAGACAAAATTGTTGATGCCTTACATATAAAATATTCTATTTCACCATTTGCATTTATCAAATAGAATTAAACGCAATTAATAAAATACTTTGTTGTAATAAAATTAAAACATAAAGTATGTAAATAGATAATATGGTAATAAAATAGAGATTGACAGCATATAATTATAATTATTACATCGCGTACATAGACCTGAACAAGATTACTTGATAAGAGATACTAGGATAGAAGATTTTCAATCAAATAGAGATAAATCAGTAAAAAATATTAGCTGGTGGTAATATTCTACTAATAGTTTGAAATACTTACTAATACCATTAGAAATATATTTTCGCTTTTATTATATTTTTAATTAGATTTTTTTTGCAGATCTAGTCAATAAACTATAAAAATGGTTGCGCTACTACTCAGCACATTAGCTTTAATAATACTATCAGTAACTTCGCAGTTTGTGGACAGACCTCATATTGTTTACATCATGGCCGATGACTTGGTAAGTTTACCCAAAACATTTAATGTAATTATTATCTTATCAAATTGCTTGAACTTTACCATGATCTTCGAAGTTCCATCAATAATTCCATCTTATCGAATCATGCATCCTTGACATTGATAATATAACGCTCAGAATTAGTAGAGAAAAGTGACCATAAGATTCAGGCGAAGAAAAGAAATGTTTCTTGAAACATTGCTCAATTAGATAAAATTATTAATTGATATTTGTATGCATATACAAATAATATGCATATGAAAATAATGAAACGATAAACGAAAACAAATTTTTTTTGATAAACTTAAGTAGATATTGTAGGGGAGACTGCGTACGGTTGTGCTACCTTTCTTGATCAGCCATAATTTTGTTAATTTACCTATTAGCTAGGAAATAAATGAATTAAATGATAATTTGAATTTTAACCATCTTCACCCGAAAAGGATAAAACCCACAACCAAATGTTGCAACCATACCCCAACGCACATTTTTGAAAACAAATCATCGTTATGACTGAGCTAAATTATCTAAATTAACTACTAATGTTTATGTTTCAGCAAAATTACAAAGTGAACTATATATTTACAAGAAACAGTAATTATTAAAAAAAAGTAGATCAAAGAATTTTTTTGACTCTTTAAAAGCAATGCGGTTCACAATTCAAATTTTTTGCAAGTCTCTAGCTCTGCTGCTATTAAAAAACAGCGGCAAGATGGCAATGAATTTTATAGTTTTGTTTTTCTTGCAATTTTAGAGAAAACTATTAATAACTATTAGTAAATTACTTATTACAACAATGCAAAATTATATACAAAAATAAATGTAATAAGTACTTAAACGAGAAAAAAATATTTAGACTATTCTTAAGGGAGTATTCTAGTGTAGAAATTCAGAAAAATCGACTTTTTTATTTCATATTTTCAAAGTTTAACTATCTAAGAATATGGGTACGAGAAGGTTTTTGACAATTTGAATTATTTTCGGAGATATAGGCATTTTACTGACTCGCTCTCCAAACTGGTTTGGCAGGGTCTAATCGGACAAAA